GTTCCTACAGCCAGGGGAAAAACCCCTTTCACTGCTGTAGTATCTATGCTGTGGTGCTACAGTGGTATAGCTATGGTGCTGTATCTGTAGTGTAGACATGACAAGTGTAGAACATTGGGGGATTCTGCGTGTTAAAGTGCTTTAAACAACAGAAAGAAGAGGGACAGGAGAACATATCAGGGTCAGGAAAGGGTTTGGCTACTTGGTGTATTCCTAATGTTTTATATGTTACCCTCTCTTAATACTTAGTACAAATTATTTTCTTACATATCAATTTTATTAACTATTGAAGAAACAGAATTCTTTCTATATTATTTCACAGTCGTCTTTCCCTCAAATGTGCTCACTGTACTAAAACTGATATTGTTTCTATTTGATGGGGAATTAATCCTCTTAAGAGGCTTAAGTTCCTACCTGTCTTTTTTTCATAGCTCATTTCTGATTTTTATATGAATAGTAATGGGATATTGCTCTCTCTTTTTGAGCCTCTCTCTATCTTAATGCCTCTCTATGTATCTTAATGTCCATTGTCTTGGATCAAACTCTATTTATTCATCTTGACTTTTTTTTTATCTCTTACAGAGTGAAAATCTGATTCAAAGGCCATTAGGGAATTGCTTATATTGAAACTGTAATGACAATGTCTGCAGTTGACTTATTGGTGGAACTGCTAACAAAAGAATTTATTTATTAGAGAACAAAGAGGAGTGATTCCCGTGTACTGTAATACCTCACAAACTTGTTCTGTTCACATATATATATTAGACTGCCTCATGGCTGTTATGAAAAATTACTCAATTATTCATATTGTATTCAGTGATTCTTGAAGTTGATCTTCTAACAGCTAGGTAGCTACTAGAAAGTGTTGTGCTTGTGTAACTAATCAGTAAACCTGGTAATATATTGAAGTAACACTTCTGTATGATGGAAGTATATTTAATGATTGTTTGAATTCACCAGATAAAACTATTTTACGTTGTGAAATATTTGTCCTGTTTATTTTTACATTTTCTTTTTTTTTTTTAACTCCATGCATTTTTTTTAATGGACTTATGCACTCTTTGTAAAATAAAGAAAAATGTTAATAAAAACAATGTGACATATTGTGACATGTTTGTCTGTCCCTTCACATAGTAAGACGACCTTTTCAACCTCCTTGTCTCTCACTGGGAAACAGAGGGTCTATGTTGACTTTCATTTTTGTATAGATGTTGTGGGACATACACGTAAAGTTAATTTATTTCAGAATCCTATTTGTTCAAGCAGGAGGTAGATGTGGAATTTATTCTAATAAATGTTTTGGACAAAGTTTTCAGTGCAGATAGTAAACAACTCTGTTTTGGTGAAGAGTTTCAGGAAATGAGCTTCTGCAATAATTATGTGGATTGTGGGAGGGTTGAAACTGTAATCTACTTTAAAATGAAATTAAGGCCTAGCATATGAAAACTATTCACAGACAAAAAATCTATTCAGTTTTTATTGATAGTCTCCTTTTTAAATAGCATTAGCCAGAGAAAATAGGAAACTTTAAACCTATGGGTGTGATTTTTGGGAGTCTCAGTTTTGGGTGCTCAATTTGGGACACCTCAAAGGGGCCCTGATTTTCAGAAAGTGCTGAGCAGCTGCACTTAAGGTGTCACAAATTGGCTACCCCCAAATTACTAGTTACTTCAAAATCTTGTGCCATTTGTTTGTTAATTTTAACACCCAGGTGCATAACAGACATTCTCCTATACCTTATTCTGTGGGTGTCCATGCTTTACTCAGGGTTTAATGAGTAGCAGGTGACCTGTGATATGATAGCAGTAGTTTCAAAACCTAGCCACACATTACCAAGTAGAAAAACAGTGAAATAGTAGCTTTTTTCACAGCTCTATAACAGCCATTAGCAGATCATATTTCATCCAGAGTTGCATGAAGCACTTACTTGAGGGGGAAAATAATCCACGGGTAGTTGCCATAACATGTATCAGGGTGTTTTACATTATTCAGGCTTTCTGTGTAAGAATCTTACTTGTGCTCTACTGGAGGAAGTGACTGTATGGTGTTTATCTCTAGAAGTACCACACGCTTCCTTCAGACTGTGACTCCCTTGTCATTTTTCTAGCATTTTTGTCAACAATTGCTGTTCTATAATCAATGTGCGGTGGGTGGAATTTGTACATTATTCATAATTCTTAGTAACTGTTGCCCTAATTGAATGTGGATTGTCATTCTGGCACTGTGACCTATGAAATCATAACTGGTAGAAAATACGTATTCAACCGTGTGCGTGGATACAGTATGATAGGATGCTTGCCTTCACAGTTGAGAAGATGGTTAACTCTTGAATGGTATTAAACTCACTAGACAAAATCTAACTTCATGTAATGACTCCATGATAGGAAGGAGGAACATCAGTGCATGTAGCTTTCTTGCAGTCCTCCTAGTCTTGCAATGGTAGCCTGTGTGTATTAATGTGCCTCCAACACACTGTAGATTAAACTGCACTACTTCTACAAATACCATGGTGGTAGACTACGAAGTGTTACAGTACTCTCTACATGCAACTCATGCATGTCTTTGTAATACATTGTATTTCCATTAGCTGTGGCTCATAAATACGTATGTGGTGGGCCGCAGGACTGGCTGTGGTTTAACTGTCCTCATGTTATCACACACGCCATCACAAGCTACCTTTTCTGCAACAGTAATGACTAGCTTAGTTTATAGAATTTTCCACTAAATAACCACATCTTCCAGCAAACAAAATAACTCAAACCTCAAAAATAATACTTAAAATAACCCTCGGCTTCCATGTTCAGCATGTAAAAGTGCAGCAGGAGGTCACCTTAGGTGCACATGAGCCATTGCAGCTGTGAAATTTGCTACCACACACTTGATAAACCTCAGTAATTGCTACATGGTGACTTCACCCAGGGCTGGGGTAAGCAAAGGCCTTTCCACAAGAAGCTTAAAAACATAAAAACCTGTTCTGCTCATGGCTATGCACACAGCTCCCATAAAAACAAATGGAGGGGGCAGAATCGGCACTACAAATCTAATGATTGCAATCTAATTCATTTTTTAAAGTTTCCCCTCTTGCTATCATGTTCAGAGTGTTGTGCAAACAAAATGAAATCATAGTACAAAATAAGTCTCAATGGTAAGTAGTAGGTGCTTTAATACAACATCAAACAAATATTTTTCTTTCAAACTCAGGCCTGATTCTCAGTTGCAGAGCTATGATAATTTACATCAGCTGAGGATCTGGTCTGATCAGAACAAACTTGGCTTATTAACGTTAGTGGATTGTGCTGTGTCTTCTTGTGTTCTGGACTGCAACAGCAGCAATAAAGGTGTGTTTCGTTTTGTTTTTCTCCAAAATATAAATGTGTACTAGAGTCCATTGAAATTGTATATAAAGTATTTGGTTCAAAGATAGCTTTGTAGGTATTTATTTTCACTTAAGCAGCCCAAGCTAGCCAATTTAAATGCCAGTATGTTTGAAAAGTTTCAAGGCTAAGACATTACCAACTGAATAAGGGCCAGACTCTCCACCCTTATATTGAACAGTATGTAGTATCCTAATCTATGACTAATCCTGTTGATTTCATTGGGCAAATTACTCTAAAATGAGTGGGAATGGCAGAATTTGGTACAAAGTACTTTGTTTTCCTGAAAATGTGTCATCCTTTGAAAACAGAATGATTTTAGTTACAGTATGTGTTTCCCACTTCCCTGTTCCATAGGAAATTATTTTATAAATTGTTTTGTTGGTTAAGTAATGGAAAACACATCCTATGTATGATTCAGGAAATAACACAATTGTTTGCTTTAAAGAATTTTAACCTCTTGAGAAGTAAATATAAGTATGCAGAGCCCGTCTAATCTTTATACAGGATGTGGGAATACTAAGAACATAGCTGCACAAACTATTAAAGTAAAAGATATACAGCTAATTGTGTATATATGTAAAATACAGCTAATATGATTTTTCCTATATGGATACTGCAAACATTCAGGGCCCAATGTGCTTGTACTTATGCCAATACTTTGCCCAGACTTGGACAAAAATTTTAGAACAGATTAATATTAATGATTTTATCAAAATAAGGACTTGCAAAGTTTGGAGGGGAGTTCAGAGTGATACCCGAGAACTCTTGCCTTTATTTATTGGTTTAAAATGAACTGTTTGAGCTTACAGTATGCACTGAAGAGAGTATTTCACTTTTTGAAATTCTTTAGGCATATACTGAAGAGGGTATATCTAGTTAAGATTGTATTTCATTCGTTATAACTTGTATGTTGTTAAAAGATATAATATGGAAGTTTGCCATGTATGAGGCAAGTGTAGGTGTTTAGCTTTACCATTCTCTTCCAGACTTGTGTATGTCTGCCTTGAAAAATCTTTTTTAAAAGTGTTTAGATTTCCTTTAAATAAATAAACTGGACAGAATATTTTGTAATGCTGAATTTTATTTAAAATACATTAATCCTTCAATTTTTAAAAACAATTACTCATATGTCAAAGCCTGTTTTTGTTTTATAAAGGAAATAAATGAAATTAATAAAAATGAAATGACGACAAATGATTTTAAATTACAGATTAGGACTCCACGCCTGCTAATGATTATAGCGGTGAGTTTTTTCCATTGACTTCCCTGAATGCAGTTGGCCTATCCACATCCAGAAAGTTGTTTGTGTGCGCAAGTGTTTTTGCAGGATAAGAGCCTAAGAGACTGATCCTGCACTGCTTTGTGATGCAAAATTCCCATTGAAATCAAGGAGTCCTTTAAGTTCTACAGTTACAAAATTAAAATAGAAAAAATGAACACATGTAAAACTGTTCACTCTCAAGCAGAAGAAGCCATCTGTGCTAACTAGAGAATAAACCAACAAAATCAAATTGAAATGCACATCTTGATATTTAGAGCCAGGTGTTTCATATGAACAGGCTTAGGGCAAAGCAAAGTAAATTTCAGACAAAAATGCTGAGTTTGAAAGGTGCAAGGAGAAGTTTAAGGTTTCTTTCCCTGGCGCTTGATTGGACTTTGCATCCTGTACATGAAGAAGAGTACGATGACGTAGTACATGGTGCTTTTCAGGAGAAGGACAATGTATATTAAATATGCCGTCCTGTGCATGAACCGCTCTGTAATAGCAACACAAAATTAAAAAAAACCCAACAGTTAATGGTGCATATTTTACAGCCTCAAAGAAAAAGAAGTATAAAACCATGTGTCTGATAGTGGAAGTTCTATACGGTATTCAGTTGCAGTAACTATACTGGCTAATCAGACTATGCATAAATGAGTGTGTCTGCTAACCAGGTCTACATTCCGAATATACCTGCCCATCCAGCAGAGCTGATAGAAAAGAGGCACTCTGAGTGCTGGTATCGCTACTATCTGCTAAGGAGTAAGCATGATGCTAGTGCTTCTGGCATTGACAGCTTATAATAGGGTGTTGCCATGATTTTAGGCCAAAATTTTCAGACCTGGAAGTTTCTTCTAAGTCCATATTCAAGCAGCTAAATAAAAGTGGTTTGATTTTAAGACTTCCTGATCACCCACAAATTGTACTGAAATAAGTTGGGTCATCAAGCATTCAGCACCTTTACGCACCATTTGAAAATGTTGGCCTTGGATGCTTTTTATAATTTAACATGTTAAGTATTAGATTAAAGAACAGTTGCATGTGTAGGCTAAAGAACAATGACACACGTGGCATGTTAACAGAGCGTAACAAATACCACCAAAGCATGTATTTCAGCAGAACCTAGTGTTTAACCTGAGCTTCCCATGGGCATTAGGTACTGGACATACTGCAAATGTTAACTTACAGCAGTGTTCCACATCTAGAATAATTGTGTGTGGACTATTTACAAAGAGAATATTTTCGTTTTTGTCTTAACCATATGAAATAGTGCTTAATTCTTAACTATATTGTAGAGAAAATGAGAATTGGACACAATTACCTGTGAAAGGTCGGTTGGTACAGCCTGCTGTGCTTTGAGGCGCTATGGAGGTGCCTGAAAGGATAGAAGCATAACATGTAAAGAGGGCTTTAATTGTCAAATGGGATTCTTGTTGCAAATTAACACACCCCTTTCTTGACAGAAGTTTAAAGAAAAAAAAGATGGTAAAAGTATTATAACTACAGTGACTCAAATATGGAAAGTTAATATTTTAAAAAATAAGTACCTAGATTCCATCCAGAGTAAATGCTCAGTAGCATGTAATTTATGTGCAAAACCAAGTAGAGATAAAACTGGGAAAAATGCATATGCTCCTGCAAGTGAGTACTTGTATGCCTTATATAGAGATTTAGGTACTGATGTTGCAATCAGATCAGTCAGAGGTCTGCACTGACCCTTTAGGAGCTCAATTGAAGTCTTTGCATTTACATGGGTGCCGGGGCCTGGACTAGCAGATCTGATTGCAGGGTCTGGACATTGGCCCTTCTGTGTATGCAAGTTTCTGTTCATGTAACGCCAGATGTATTATAAAAAGTATTATAACTACAGTGACTGAAATATGGAAAGTTAATATTTTAAAAAATGAACACCTAGATTCCATTCACAGAATAAATGCTCTGTAGCACATAATTGATGTGCAAAACCAAGTAGAGATAAAACTAGGAAAATGCATATGCTCAGGCAGTGCAGAGCCCTGTGCCTGTAACAAGCTCACTTGAAATCTTTGGCATTTGCATGGGTGCTGGTGTCTGGACTAGCAGATCTGATTGCAGGGTCTGGACGTTGGCCCTTCTGTGTATGCAAGTTTTTGTTTATGTAGAGCCAGATGCATTTTGTCCCACCAAATTACTCAGTTGTGTTTGCCCCTTTGCAATGTATATGTATACTCGGCCGACAAAAACCTGGCCGCCTTATTTTGTCTCTAGTCAGAGGGAGCCTGAGATTGTTGGCATTCATGGTAATGTTGTTTAATAGCTGTACAAGAGACAGAAGAAAATAATCCTGATGAGGATACAGTCTAAGGCCCATCTCTTAGGCCTTTTGGATGGGCAAGAGGGGGATGGTCAATAAGTCTATTTTTCTATTGTATTTGAAATAGATAAATTTGTATCTTCTCTTATTAATTGCCTCCATGCTGACTGAGACCTGGAGGTAAGATACATACTGCAAATCAATAAATAACCTGAAAATATATTTTTATCAGAAGGCACTTTGAGAACTGAAATGTAAGGATTATGGGCCAGATTCTGAGCTAGTGTCAACTGGCCTGGCTCTATTAACTTGACTAGAGCTATGCCAGTTTACACCATCTGAGAATGTAGCTATGTGGGAACAGAAGTTGGAAAAATACCTATTCAATCAAAAGAACGGAGAAAGATTTTGTTCTTAAAGATCTAAACCTGATCTCAAATAAGAATCAAACAGAAATTATGGTACTTCTCTTAATTTATTTTCTCTTTCTCTTGCATTATCTTTTTGATTTTGGTTTTTGTAATTATTCTGGTCTGCTTTAATAAGCTACATGCTGTGTGTGTTATTACTTTTTTTGCAATATATACAATATATAGCACTTGTTCAAAATCAAACACTCTAGCCCAGGTCTGTGGCTGGTGTAAATCTACAGAGCTCCATTGACTTCAGTGGAGTTACGCTGATTTACACTAGTTGAGGATCTCAGCCAACATTTTCTTTCATTCTAGAAAGATTTTAAACTGGGGGAGAGAAGCCAAAACTGAGCTTTTGATGGAGATAGCCAACTTATGGAGAGATGGAAACTAACATTGGCCTGGAGAGCGCAAACCCTTTTAGGAACAGTAATGAATTTTATTGTTTTATTGTAAAGAAACAGTGATCTCTCTCTCTCTCTCTCTCTCTCTCTCTCTCTCTCTCTCTCTCTCTCTCTCTCTCTCTCTATATATATATATATATATATATATATATATATATATATATATAGTTTTAATAATATAGTATATACCTTGAGATTCGATAGGGACAGAACCAGTATCTTTTTCATGTTGATAGCTGCAGCGATAATTCTTGTTGCTATTTTTATCTACGGTCAGCCAGCTGCTCATTGAGTATGACTGTCGATTGTCATCAGGGGGCCAAATTTCCCCAAGCACTGCATTTTTCTCTACATTCTTCTTGTCGTCGTCCCAAGTCACTTTAATAACATTTGGGTAAAAATCCTCAATGAGGCATACGTGTGTTACTTTCCCATCTTTTTCAGTAAAAGGAGGCAGGATCCGAACCTTGCTGGAATCGAGTTTTGCTTCTGTTTCTGGATTCATTTTAGAGAGAGAAATGAATTTATTAGGAATTAAGTAAATTCAGAATTACATTATACGTATCATGCTTTACTTTTGAAACAATATGGACAGAATTCACAGATTTGAAAGTGGAAGACAGAGACAATTTCATTTCTTGCATCCAATTCCTCCAAATTGCAGGCATGCATAGAATCTTAACTCTGAGTTCAGCATGAGAACGATATCTCATTGCCAAACGTATTTTAACTACTTCAAGTCTATAATATATTGTAACTGCCTATTAAATTCTGAAGATGGGAGTAAATTATCCACTTATGAGTTACAGCTTTAGGGAGTTGGAATTGCAGAGGTTTACGTGCTTGAATTGAATGCAGGTTTTTGTGGAACAGAAGAATCTGAGAGTGCCCACTAACTTAGCTGCCAAACTCAAAATATATTAAACACTTTTTGAATAAATACTAAGTACAGTTTTATGTTCTGGTTCATTTCAAAACATTTGTGACTTTGAAAAATCTCCCCTTTATTTACCCAAAATTTGTGTATAAAAGGCACCGTGATAGTGAGAGGAAGGGTACATCTACACTACAATAAAAGACCTGCGGCACGACCACGACTGGCCCAAGTCTCCTGATTCTGATGTGCAGGGCTGGGGTAGCGCGGCTAAAAATTGCAGTGTTGTTGTTTCGGCTTGAGCTGGAGCATAAGCACTGAAACCCAACAACGGAGGTGGTCTAAGAGCCCAGGCTCCAGTCAGAGCCTGAATGTCTACACTGCAGGTTTTAGCACCAAAGCCCGAGACCACAAACCCAAGTCAATTGACCCAGGCTCTGAGACTTGGTGCCACAGGGTTTTTATTACAGTGTAGATGTACCTGAAGGGAAGGGTATTAAAGATTCCACAAACCTTTTAATGAAGCCTCTTTAAAAATCACTAGAATATTTTATCAGGAGATAAATTTGCCCTGAACTAATTGCATATACTATTTAAGAACCTTGGTTAGCACTTTTAAAAAGAGAGTTAGAAAAGTAATCTTAAGCCTTTTCCACACTAAGAAATTTAACCTTTGTGAAAACATTTTTTATCAATTATTCACCTTAAAATGATATAAGAACATACAAGATATGTTCTATTGCAGACCCAGACGATACAACTTCGGGGGAACTGTTGCTGAACGCCATTTTGGGATATTACAGTAAATATATTAACATAAATCACTCAATGACAAATATCAATTACGAAATTAGCAAGGATAATACACTCTGAAATGACTTTGTTCATGTATTTGGCAAATGTAATGGAGTGTTATGCATAATGCTCAACACTTCTGAAAACCAAGTCACTTAAATGCCCAAATAAGTATTTCGGAGCCTAACTTTAGTCAACCACTTTTGAAAATCTTGATTATGAACTTGATTACTAACAATGGAACTCTCAATAGAACTCTATCAAATCTTTGCTGAGGAATAGAGGGAATGTTGCTGCTTGTGTCCAAATCCTGGAGTGAATTAGCAAAGTGCCAATTAGTGAATTTCTGCTGTATCTCCTAAATTATTTTAAAATAATTCTGCCACAGTATTAATGTTGTTACTCTAGAAATAGAGCTTAAAAAATGGCAAAAAAATCATTTTTTTTCACTTCATAAAATTTTAAAAAATTGTGGCCTGCTATTGGATTGGATAAAATACAACCAAAAATATTTTTTATTAAAAGTTTGAACTAGAAAGGATGAAAATTTTATTTCATCCCCGAGTTTGTATAAGTGCATGAAATAACACTGAACAAGGCCAGAAAAGACTTCCTTACTAAAATTATCATCTGTCTGCTCGTTTCATATGGCTGACATTAAACAATACATGTTTTTAAACAGTGTATTGAATTTACTAGTTTTCACAAGAAGCGAGCAGGTTCAAAACACTTTTACTGCTGCTAATTTCTGTCTCCTGTTTGTCACTTGAGATACAACCAAGAGAATAAGGTTCCCAACCCAGCTAACTGCCAAAGAAGTATACCCTACAGAACGAGGCAACGTTCTCATGTTATAAATGTGCATCACAAAGAAGAAACGGAAGGTTAATGATATTTCAGTAGTGTCGAAGGTCCCCAAATGGGCACCATGTATTCTGTGCATTCTCTATTTGTTCCAACACTTAACTGCAATGAAATAGTTGGCCTATACTCTACAAAACATTTTGATTGGAATTTTTAAAGGCAGTAAGAAGGGATTTAGGTGCCCAAATCACCTTGAAATTCAGGCTCCTTTGATAATGTCAGCCATTGTCTTTAGTCAGCTGAGACACAAATAGATTAATACTAAGGCCCTGCTCCCACAAAGTCATAGACTCATAGACTTTAAGGTCAGCAGGGAGCATTATGATCATCTAGTCCGAACTCCTGCACAATGCAGGCCACAGAATCTCACCCACCCACTTCTGTAACAAACCCCTAACCTATGCCTGAGTTATTGAAGTCCTCAAATCGTGGTTTAAAGACCTCAAGGTGCAGAGAATCTTCCAGCAAGTGACCCATGCCCCACGCTGCAGAGGAAGGTGAAAAAGCTCAATCAGCCCTGGAGGAAAATTCCTTCCTGACCCCAAATATGGCGATCAGTTAAACCCTGAGAATGTGGGCAAGACTCACCAGCCAGCACCCAGGAAAGAATTCTGTGTAGTAACTCAGATCCCACCCCATCTAACATCCCATCACAGACCATTGGGCATATTTACCTGCTAATAATCAAGATCAATTAATTGCCAAAATTAAGCTATCCCATCATACCATCCCCTCCATAAACTTATCAAGCCTAGTCTTGAAGCCAGATATGTCTTTTGCTCCCACTACTCCCCTTGGAAGGCTGTTCCAGAACTTCACTCCTCTAATGGTTAGAAACCTTCATCTAATTTCAAGTCTAAACTTCCTAATGTCCAGTTTATATCCATTTGTTCTTGTGTCCACATTGGTACTAAGCTTAAATAATTCCTCTCCCTCCGTGATATTTATCCCTCTGATATATTTATAAAGAGCAATCATATCTCCCCTCAGCCTTCTTTTGGTTAGGCTAAACAAGCCAAGCTCTTTGAGTCTCCTTTTATAAGACAGGTTTTCCATTCCTTGGATCATCCTAGTAGCCCTTCTCTGTACCTGTTCCAGTTTGAATTCATCCTTCTTAAACATGGGAGACCAGAACTGCACACAATATTCCAGATGAGGTCTCACCAGTGTCTTGTATAACAGTACTAACACCTCCTTATCTTTACTGGAAATACCTCGCCTGATGCATCTCAAGACCGCATTAGCTTTTTTAACGGCCATATCACATTGGCGGCTCATAGTCATCCTGTGATCAACCAATACTCCGAGGTCCTTCTCCTCTTCTGTTACTTCCAACTGATGTGTCCCCAATTTATAACCAAAATTCTTGTTATTAATCCCTAAATGCATGACCTTGCACTTTTCACTATTAAATTTCATCCTATTACTATTACTCCAGTTTACAAGGTCATCCAGATCTTCCTGTATGACATCCCAGTCCTTCTCTGTATTAGCAATACCTCCCAGCTTTGTGTCATCCGCAAACTTTATTAGCACATTCCCACTTTTTGTGCCAAGGTCAGTAATAAAAAGATTAAATAAGATTGGTCCCAAAACCAATCCCTGAGGAACTCCGCTAGTAACCTCCTTCCAGCCTGACAGTTCGCCTTTCAGTATGACCCGTTGTAGTCTCCCCTTTAACCAGTTCCTTATCCACCTTTCAATTTTCATATTGATCCCCATCTTTTCCAATTTAGCTAATAATTTCCCATGTGGAACAGTATCAAATGCCTCACTGAAATCGAGGTAAATTAGATCCACTGCATTTCCTTTGTCTAAAAAAATCTGTTACCTCTCAAAGAAGGAGATCAAAGAAGTTTTACACATGTGCTTAATTTTATGCATTGTGAGTAGTCCCCCTGATGTCAAAGCTTGTGAAGGTTCTTCTACTAAAATGGTTTCAGCTTATTTTTGTGCTGTCTGGCTATTCTAGAGTTTTCTGAAACTATTTGGAACTGAACCAGACTATAACCCTGTATGTAATTAAGGTTGTGTCAAAAAGTATTTAAAATATCTTGAAATTAGAAGCAAATAAAGATACTTGAGATGTAAGACTACCTAACCAAGAAAAATCTCTTCATTAAAGAATTTTCCCTCATTTTGGAAATTGTCACCAAAAAGGGAATTGATTTTTCTCTTCTTTCCAATTTAGATCCTCATGCTCCAGCACTAATTACTTCAACACTTGGGGCTCAATCTTACATTCCATATGCACCATAAGCACCCAGGAATACAGGATTGGGCTTGAACAGTAGGTTTACCAAATGATTTATTTACTCAAGTCTTGTATGTATTCAAAAAACCTTTACGTAGCTTCCTGCCCAGTGATGTTGTGCTTTGCAAAATATAATGATTATTTCTGGCATTTCTCTTTAGATGTTTTTAGAAATTGGAGTAACATTTACATGTTGATACTTTTGCAAGCACACGTAGTTTTTTGTATTTGCACATGGTTAGATGGGTGTCTATCCAATATAAAATCTGAATTTTGTACATATATAAGCAGTATATGTGTTTGCATAAGTGGGCAAAATCTGTTTTAAATATCTTGCCTCATTTTAAGTGAGATATAAAACCCCTTAAGGCCAATGGGATTTTTTTCTTTGGCTTCAATGGCCTTTGGATAAGACACTTTAAGAAGATAAGACCCTTAATTTCCAAGTCAATCATAGTTTCCAGTGTGGAGCTACTTATTGTTTTGGTCCAACTTAACTTTTCAAAACACCTCACTTGTCTAATTTATTTAAGTGGAATTTTTAACAAGGAAGGTGTGTTGTAAAAGAATATATGTGATATATTCTTATTACTTTAAGTATCACTTCTCTTTTTTTAAGACGGTAATCAACTTTGGGCCCCTTGCTTTCACTTCTTGCTCAAAAGAAATTCCTATTAGTTTCAATGGGAGGTTTTCTAAAGGGAGGATTGCAGGGTTA